GCCCACGGCGCGGGCGGGGGTGGCGGTGGCCACTTTGGGCAAGCGGATCATGGTGATAGGAGGGGTCGGAGTCAATCAGATGCCGCTGAAGATAGTGGAGATGTACAACATCGACGAGGGCAAGTGGAAGAAGAGGAGCTCGCTGCGAGAGGCAGCCATGGGCATCTCGGTGACGGCAAAAGGCAAGAAGGACCAGGGCGGGGAGCGGGGGGATGCCTGCGGGGTGATGGGGAAGGTTGGCATCGGTTGGGCAATGGCATGGTTGGGCAATGGCACAGGGTTATGTTGTTCTCAAAAAACCTTTTCTGTGCTCCTGGCAATTTGTCATATCCCACCTGCTGAAGACGATGGTTCTGTAGCAGCCGAAAGCAGAGAAACCCAGGGGTTGTTCTGTATCGTCAGCCCCGGAGCCACAGGGGCCATGGCCGTGTTGGTACCTGGGAGTATTTCGGACAGGTCCAGTCTCCAGGATCTCAAATCAAACTTCTCCAGGCTTTTGTAGTAAATTCTGGTCCTCGTGTGCTGCAGATGCTGGAAAAATAGGAATGGGCTGGGAGTACCTCAGCTGAGCTGTGGAGCCCAAGGTGAAGCCTGGGAGCCACAGAATAGCTTTGGTGTGAAGAGATCTCTCTGGAGCAAGCCCAGAACCAGCCAGAAGAGTGTCAGCTTCACAGTGTCAAATCATTATACGAGGAGGGGCAGCAGCTGGCTTCGTGGAGGGCTCCTGCGCAGCTCCCCTCTGTCAGCTTAACCGCTGCCTTAAATGGGGCTTGTTAAACGCCCGGGAGGCTCTGCGCTATCAGCCCATCTCATTTTTTAATTTCTAAGCAGAGATGTGGAGCATTGATTTCCTTTAGCATCCTCTGCCGTGCTTTGCAGAGCCTGGGGCTGGGAGCTGTGTTCCCGAGCAGTGTGCCTGAGGTCAGGCAGCTTCCCGCCGTGCCTGGGATTACGGATCTAATCTCCAGGCAGCTCCTTTGAAAGCTGCTTGGTTTGTTTGCTTAAGTGGGTTTAAAAGCTACCGTCAAGGAATGTTTAAAAATAATGTTTACCATCTCCAAGATGATTTTTCTCTCTGAGTATGAGCTTGCCTGACTGATACGGCGGGGTCAGTTCAGGGCAAGAGGCCAGGAACAGAAATAGCCGCCCAAATCCTTGCAGCGTGCAGGCTCCTCTCTGCTTTTCCAGCTGCCTTGCAGGGCTGTCCGTGAGGGCAAGGCTGCCGTTGGTGCTCTCCTGAATCTTGTCTGTTTGCTGAAGTGCATATTAAAAGAGGAGCAGCAGCCCCTGGACGGGGCAGCAGGGCTGGGGGATGAGCATCAGCGGTGCTGTGGGGACCAGGAGGTTGGTGTTCCCCTCTGCCCCAGGGATGGGAGGTCGGGATGTACACAGGGACTTGGGTGGGAGTGAACAGTTCTGGTCCACATCAGATGATGGCATGTGTTTTTGCAGGAGGATGTTTCTCATGCTCTCCTACAGTAATTTGGTGGGGTTTTTTTTACTTCTTGGCCCTGTGCAGACTACAGAGTCTATGCAGCGGGTGGGATGGGATCTGACCTGCGGCCACACAACTACCTGCAGCACTACGACATGCTCAAGGACATCTGGGTGTCGCTGGCAGCCATGCCCACACCCAGGTACGCTGCCACGTCCTTCCTGCGAGGCACCAAGATCTACGTGCTGGGTAAGAAGCTGTCCTGCCTCCTCCTCCTTGGGCACCGCTGGGCAGCAGCTCCTTTGATCTCAGCCCTGAGAAACCTCCCTGGGAGAGGTGCTGGGGAACGCTCCCCTCCATCCTTGCCTGTTTCCTCCTGCATTCAGAAATACCACGCTTGCAGCTGGAGGGTTTGAGTGGGGCTGGTGCTGGGGTCTCGCAGCAGCTCTGTGCTGGGCAAGTGGCCTCTCTCATCCCAGGTCCATCCGTGGCTGCTGGCAGCTGAGGGTGCAGCTGGTCTTTGCTCCGTTTGCATCCCTGCTACTGCAATAGAAGCCCTTGGACTCAACTAGCAAGTAAAAATACTTCTGTGCATTTGGTATCAGCAAAGCACGGCGCAGCTTCCCAAGGGGTCTGCCTTTGGCAGGGGAGAAACCTGCTGCAGCTGGGAAATGCTGGCCCAAGCCTTTTGCAGAGGACGGTTTTCATTAGTCCTGTGTTACAGAATGGCAGGCTAAGGCAGAGAAACATTAGCTTGTGGCCAAATGGCGTATCAGGATCAAAACGCAGGAGTTTGCTCGAACCACCAGCCAGCCCTAGCTTTCTATAGGGGTGAACAGGAAAGACTCTGATCTATTTTGCAGTTTGCTCGCTGCTGGCAAACAGTTTGTGGGCCCGGCAGCGAGCACAGGCTCTGCCTTCAAAGGCACGCTGGGCATCTGAGCTGAGAATAGCTGCATCCATCTGCAGCTGATGAGAATAATCCACATCCTTGGCGGTCGCAGCAGCAGCTGCTCCGGCAGCGAGGCTGGGGCTTGCTGGCTTGCACTGGCACTGAGCTCATCTGAATTGCAAAAGCTCCTGAGCGCTGATCCCTGCTCTGCTCTGGATTTGTCTTGATGAAGCTGGTGCATACTAAACATCTTCCTGCGCCAGCGACCCGCTGCTGCCGGCGTGGAGGGAGGCGGAGGGTGCGATGTAGTGCAAAATGAAGTGTTTTCATGCTGGGATCCTGCAGTTAAAGGAGGGGGAGCACAAGGGGGGGAAGTTACCTGGCTCAGCAGGCCCTCACCCAGGTGACTTGAGACTTGGGGGCATCACATCGTGTGCAGCTCGCCTGCTCTGAGCCCACCCCGAGAAGCTCCTCTGATTCCTTCCAGTTCCTTCCAGTACTTAAAGGGGTCTACAGGAGAGATGGGGAGAGGCTCTTGTTCAGGTGTAACAATAGGATGAGGGGTAATGGATTTAGGCTGAAAGAGGAGAGATTGAGATGAGATGTTAGGAAGAAATGTTTTCCTGTGCGGGGGGTGAGGCAGTGGCCCAGGTTGCCCAGAGAAGCTGTGGATGCCCCATCCCTGGAGGGGTTCAAGGCCAGGCTGGATGAGGCTTTGGGCAACCTGGGCTAGTGGGAGGTGTCCCTGCCCATGGCAGGGGGGTGGAACTACATGGTCTTTAAGGTCCCTTCTGACCCAAACCATTCTGTGATTCTCTGATTCCTGGTGCTGTTGGCTTGGTGCTATGAGCCAAGCTGACCCTTTGCTTTCCCTCTCCCTGCCCCAGGTGGAAGGCAGTCCAAGTACGCTATCAATGCCTTCGAGGTCTTTGACACAGAGACCCGGTCCTGGACCAAGTTTCCCAACATCCCCAACAAAAGAGCCTTCTCCAGCTTCGTGCCCACAGAAGACAAACTCTTCAGTCTCGGGGGCCTGCGGCAGGGCCGGCTCTACCGGCAGCCCAAGTTCATGAGGACCGTGGACATGTTTGACATGGAGCAAGGTGGGGGTTGTCCCTTGTCCCAGCTCTGTCCTTTCCAGAGGAGCAGGGCTGGTGGCACGCTTTGCTGTCCTTGCAGAGCACAGAGCTCTCATCTGCTGAGTCCTGCGACTGCTGCTGCCTTGAGCCCAGCCTAGAGGAAGACCTGCAGTCAAGATTAACAAGTCAAGGCAGCAGGGGGGAAAGCCGTGGTCCCGAGGCAGCTGGGTTCAACAGCTCCCTCCTGATGTGGTGGGGAGGAAGCTGACCCCTGTGTCCTGGGGTTTGATTACCCCAAGGTGCAGCAGCAAAGCTGTGCTTCCACAAGAGATTAGGAGATGAGAGGCAGATGGTTTCCCAGGAGTGGATGCCCCTGTAATGCCCGGTCTGTCCTGTCCCTCCCAGGTGGCTGGATGAAGATGGAGCGCTCCTTCTACCTGAAGAAAAGGCGAGCAGACTTTGTGGCTGGCTACCTGAAAGGCAGAGTCGTCGTGGCTGGAGGACTAGGTGAGGCACCGGGGATGGTGGTAATGCTTTAAAAAGCATGAGTCATGTGTTATCATTACAGAGGGGAGAGATCCTGGCCCTGGCTGGCCTGAGGGAGCAGGAAAAGCAGACCCAGGGTTCAGAGTTCAGAGACTATGCCAGAGCAGACCAGGGATGCTCGCTGGTGCTTCCTAAGTGACCCAGTGCCTCCCTTTATGCTTCCAGGAAACCAGCCGACTGTCCTGGAGTCCGCAGAGGCTTTCCACCCTGAGAAGAACAAGTGGGAGAGCCTGCCCCCCATGCCCACCCCGCGCTGCGCCTGCTCCAGCATCGTGGTGCGGAACTGTCTGCTGGCCGTCGGCGGGGTGAGCCAGGGGCTGAGCCGTGCCGTGGAGGCTCTCTGCCC